ATCTTTCTTTCTCGGGGTGGGCTTAGGGAGAAGTTGTCTAGAGCAACGGGAAACTTGCCGGGGGACGGAAGGGTAAATTTGTTACATGGAGAGCGGGCTGCCGGCTGTGTAAAGTTCTCTCCTTTTTCCCGCAAATAAACGCAGAATTTCGAGGTAGAGAAAGGACAACAGTTTGTATCTTAAAATACGAATGGAATATGCCACACAACTATCGTAAAAGAAATCGAAACTGAAGCGAAGGTACAAGAGCGGTTTATTGTCATAATAAAACCCCTTTCAGTGCATCAAGACCTTGAAAGTATTTTTTTGTATTGTGTATTGTCTTATGGGCTTTGTCGCGAATTTGATCGTCAACAAACCATTAATTGATGACTTTTTTTCTTTCCGTGAAGAAGCGCGCTTGCTTGAAGAAGCAGCTGGGCAGCCTTGAAAGGTTCTAATATAGACTTTTATTCAGATTGTTGTGGGAATCACTGTGCGAATTGCCTATGTATACAATTAAACAAACTTTGAAAGCGTCTTTGAAATTCGCGCTCAGTTGACATCAATTGTTCTCTTGTTTTCATGAATGCCCTTATTATGCTAATGACGGGTTTTAAAACTGACGCGCGTGCCACTTGCAATTGACAGCAATCATTTCGCTCTCGTCATTGGAAAAGAGTAATCTGAAAATAGTCATCGGAAAAGATCGGTTTAAAGTTGTTTAAAGTCTTAAAATGTTTTCGAAGTTCAAAGTAGACAAGCCGCAAGCAAACGTCCTCTACAAACGTGGGCCAAGGCATTTCGAGGTAGAGCAGTCTGTCCCCTCTTTGCCCCTTCTTGAGGTGTACGACCAACGCATTCGCCATTTGCACGAAATCGTCAGTGACCAGGCGACGGAATTGGCAGAAAGAAGGGCAGAAGTTTTTCAGCTTCGCCAGGAACTCCAGCTTCTAAGAAATGAGCTTGCCCAAAGTTGCCTAGCAGTGGACCCTGTAAAGAACGCTGTGAAGTTTAACGTTAGCCGAAAAAACTATTGGGACGTAGATAAGTCTTCGCGGTCTATGAAGAGGAAAAAAATCAGAGAGTACCTCCGAAATGCCACAGAGATTTTACCAGCGGAATTCAAACCGATTGAGGTACGTATCATTACGAATTTTTCTTTATCACTAAGTTTTTAGGGGTGGTGAATGGTCTTTGAAGGTCTCGCAAAAATTTGGTCAAATTTTGCGGGTCTCGCAATGTAATTTTTTCGGCGGTTCTGAACGTCTCGCAGTCTCATATCTTTAAGCTTACATGATCATGCTGGGGACAAAATCCCAAATCAAAGGTTGAAAACAGTCTCGATCTAAGAGAAAAACGTTGGATTCACCATTCGTCACCCCTAGTTTCACATTGGTCAATCTTTTTATTAAGACCTCATGCGTCTAATGGCTCAACGAGAACGGATGATAAATCTTTTCATTAACAATGTTTATTCAGTGTCATAAGCAATCTGTGTGATAGCGCTGAAATATTATAAGCCAGTCGAAAAATTTATTGTTTATTTTTCTGAAATATAAACTCTTCATTGAACATGCATAGTGTAGGCAGGTGCTAAGTACCTTTAGGGACTTACCAGGGCTTACTGCAAATAGATACCGACTTCTGGTTATTTTAAGGCAAAATTTCCTCTTCTGTATGTATGGCAATCGACCCTGGCACTTCTTCCGTTGTCGCTTCTTCGTCTTGTGTGGTTTAACTTTTGCTTGCCATTTTTTTTAGGCCGTGTTCACAGGATTTTCTCGCTTTTATGCCTCTCCAAGAATTTGTAGTTCATTTCAAAACAGGGAAGAACCTCTGACTCACTTTGCAAAACGCTTTTGTTCGTTTTTGGCTCTTTAAAAGGTGACAATGGTTTTGATAACAGTTTAAAATGACATCGTAGAAAACTTTGTTACGATTTGGCAAAGGTTGTTATATTTACGTAGATGCGAAACAATATCACTTAGCCTCGTTTTCAACTCGCAATTCCATGCTAAATACTTCGCTTCGTTGGCCAATCAGAATGCGAGATTTTATTTAATTATGTAATTTTTAATCAAAATAGGCGGAAGTTGAGTCAGTGTTTAAAAAAGCACGTTATGGGACAAGGAAGAAGCAAGGTCACATGAAAATGCAATGCACTGTGATAAAATAACCCTGAAGCAGTTACACCTGAATTGGACTGTAACTTGTTTCTTCCATTATCCTTAACTCGCATACAGTCATGCTTTTGCGCCCATGGCTTTGTTAATTACCATTCATTGAACTGCTGAAATCTCGTTAGAACTACTGGCACCGTTGTGTTTCTGGCAGCGGAAAAACGTCATGCCCAGAAATCGAAAGTTTCACAGTAAATTCGGTTTTTGTCTAGCTGGGATTCTTTACACAGGAAGTTCGGAACGAAAGGAATCTGTGGTAATTCTGGGAGAATAATGAGCAATCCTTTGAAAAGCTTGAGAAATTTAGGGAGAAAGAGCAGGCAACCATCGAATCCCATACGAGGTGAGGTTATCGTATGGTACGTACCTAAAATTCGGTTGAGGTAAACGAACGTTCGGCAAACTTCATTTGAGTTCGGTAAGCTACCAACATCGAAAGGCGCTTTTACGAAAAGCATTTTTACGTGTGTTAAATATGATGAATTGAGTTTCTTAGGAAAATGTGGTGATGCGTCGGTAGGAGAGTAGAATTACGCCAGTTTCGCCCCGTGTAACTTCCACTCGTGTCAACTTCAAGTTCAACCCGCTTCATCATATATGTGTTTTTATGTCTAACTTACGTTTTATGTCCTTTAACACTTGTATTTATGCAACAGATTTATATTTTAAAAGTATTTACGTTTCATTTTCGCTCCGTTTAACTTCGACCCGTGTCAACTCCAAGTTTGACACCCTCATAAAATATGTGTTTTTATGTCTAACTTGCATTTTATTTCCTTTAACATTTGTATTTATGCAACAGATTTATATTTAAAAGTATTTATGGAAAGATACGGAGGCAAGAATTGTGTGGATTTCATGCAAATTAGACAATTCACCGAATGTGGCTTTATGTTCATGTAAATGTGCCAAGCATGTGCACAGTGTTTTTTGTGTTTTGCTTATACATAATGCTTCGATGATGCTTTTATTAAAGAAAAAAAACTTTTATATGTGATTGAAGGCGTTTCCAAAACGACTGTGTTGTACAACTAACATGTTATATATTTTATGTAAATTAGAATCAAGCAAGTTTGAATTCATGTGGCGTGACCCGCCCACAGATTACTTCCGACTGAAGTCTATTTCCACTCTATTCAGGGAATTGGTTTCAATTAATTAGCTGTTGGTTCATTCAAATACGAACACGACCTGAGAAGTTGTGAGGTACTCTTCTTTCCCTGCTGGTATTCATCCCAATGCACAAACAACTTTGCCTGCATATCTCTGCCCTTCTTTCTCTGGACTATTTTCAGTTTCGTCTGCCTTTCAGCTTTAAGAGCAATTATGTAAAAATATTTGCGTTTATTGTAATTAGATGATATTTGCGCTGTTGTTTCGTTCCTTAGATTTGTCATTCAAAATGATCTCACCTTTTCTAGGACGCTTTAATCCGAATTTTCCGCTTTCGGCGGCTCTACGTGGCTCCCGAAGTGAATACTCAAAGGAATAAATCGAGCATTCTATGCACAAAATCCAGCGGTAACACCAATTTCTGAATGACACACTTAAATTGATGTAAGGTTGTAATGTTATTTAAAAAGTATTGATGTCTCTAACCTTTCGATCTCTGATTAAATTCGGGTTTATAGCTGTCTTTTCAATGATTAAATTTCAAAGTTCACTGATTTATCAGTTTATAGCCTTTGGATTTCATCGATGATTTGCTTTACATATTTCACCGATATATATGTTTGTAGTATGTTTGAATTTATTTATCATGTATCAGTAGTTTTAATCTCCACTCTCCTCTGGCTGGACTGCACAGAGGAATTGCTTTTTTTGTTTTTTTTCTCAATTCAATCATGAAATTCACATACCTTAACGTGACAGTCATTACTGTTACCATATTCTTGAACAAATGGCACTACATCTTGAACTGTTGAATGTCAAAGAATGCAAACTTGTCTATTACACTGTAGATTGTTGCTGCTTATGCTAAGTGGCTTTATTAATTTTCTTTATTTCCAGAAAAGCCTCCATGCAGTTCAAAGGATAAAGATCAACCACAAAGGGATGAGGTTTCGAAAGGAACTGGCAAGTTGTATAGTTATTTTGTCTTTTGTCCTGTGTATAAGATCCAGATACTTGTGATAAAACAGCAGAACAAACGACAGAAAGGGAGAGAGGTGGGCGAGTTCGCCCGTTCCTGTTCATATGTTCAGCCCAAGACTTAATGGTCATGGGCCCCCATATAGCTGCTAGTGATGGCTTATAAATACAGGCATTTGGTTTTAATTGGCAAAGCATATAGTAAACTCATTTTGCAGAGTGCCACAAAAAATGCAAATTATCTCTTGTTGTTGTACCTTTTGTAGACCCAATTAAGTGAGGATATTTGCATATCCTCTTTACCAACATGAGGGCATGATTTCATTATTTTGACTACAGATGGAGCCAGTTTTTTTTCTTCAGTTTGTGAATGGTTAACAGCTGCCTGGTTTTCAGAAAAATTTTATGATATGAAAAGTACTGTAGAAGCTGTTTTAAACTAATGAAGAATTATTCAGAGTTTAAATATAGTAATTATTATTCAGTGTGCTTGATTTGATTAGTCCCTCAAGGTGACATTTTCTTGGAAACCCAATGTCAACTTGTTGTTCAATTTTATTAAACTAATTTTATACCAATCCAACGCGTTTTCTAGCAGTGAAATGATGCAAGGAATGTTAACTTTTACAAAACTGAAAACAGTTAAGAAAAAGAAAAATGGCTGCACAGGGCTATTATCAGTATATGTTAAAAAGGTGTATGCGTTGCAATTTATGGATATTCTTGATTCAATTTTCGGTGCAGATCAAGGCACCTCAAAAGACGAAGAAAAAACAAAGGGAGATGCAAAAAAAGATGAAGCAGCAGGTAGGTATATTACTTGCCTTTTTTAAGTTTTATAAGTTACATAATTCTAATTAATCAGTCTGAACCCAGGGATAATTTTGATTGCTCATAGTGTCATCTGACAGGTAAAAAAAGCCAGCTTTTTCTTTCTTTTATGTACAGTGTATGGCTGCTCAACTTTATAGCTTTCTACTCAATTAAGTTATGTGAAAAGTAGAAGCTGTCATAGTTGGGGTCTTAAAATATAGAGGGTACTCAAAGATGACCGTTTTCCCTCAATTCCAACAATAAAGAAACCCTAGCTGAAACGTGAGTTCATAATTTCCTTAGTTTGTTTAATGGCTGCTCAACTTTATAGCTTTCTACACAACTAAGTTATATGAAAACTAGAAGCTGTCATAGTTGGGGTCTTAAAATATAGAGGGTACTCTAAGATGACTGTTTTCCCTCAATGCCAACAATAAAGAAACCCTAGCTGAAACGTGAGTTCATAATTTCCTTAGTTTGTTTAATTTCCTTGATATCAACTAAACAGCAAGTATACCACAGAAAAGCTTTTTAAAGAATAAAAAAGATCTGGTAAATCAGATTTTCATTGCTGCAGCAATGGTATTATCAGCATCTTCCAGTTTAACACTGTGATCAACTTCTAAATTTCCTTGTATAAGTGCCCAAGCTCAGAGAAGCACCCAAAATATTTTTCTCACCTTGCCCACAAAATTTTAAATTTTTCACAAGTTCACCCATTCCTGTTCATATGTTCAGCCCAAGACTTTATGGTTATGGGCCCCCGTATAGCTGCTAACTATGGCTTATAAATATAGGCATTTGGTTTTAACTGGCAAAGCATATATTAAACTCATCTTGCAGAGTGCCACAAAAAATGCAAATTATCTCTTGTTATTGTACCTTTTGTAGACCCAATTAAGTGAGGATATTTGCATATCCTCTTTACCAATATGAGGGTAGGATTTCATTATTTTGACTACAGATGGAGCCAGTGTTTTTCTTCAGTTTGTGAATGGTTAACAGCTGCCTGGTTTTCAGAAAAATTTTATGATATGAAAAGTACTGTAGAAGCTGTTTTAAAGTAATTGAGAATTATTCTGAGTTTAAATATAGCAATTATTATTCAGTGTGCTTGATTTGAATAGTTCCTTAAGTGACATTTTCTTGGAAACCCAATGTCAACTTGTTGTTCAGTTTTATTAAACTAATTTTATACCAATCCAACACGTTTTCTAGCAGTGAAATGATGCAAGGAATATTAACTCTTACAAAACACAACAAGTTCACCCATTCCTGTTCATATGTTCAGCCAAGACTTTATGGTCATGGGCCCCCATATAGCTGCTACAGGCAGCTATATGGGGGCCCATATAAATACAGGCATTTGTTTTTTTCTGGTAAAGCATGTATGAAAACTCCTGAAAAACTGTTCCTGCTTTTAAGTTTCAACTCATGAGGAAATGTATGGAAATACCTGTAGAACTTTATTATCCCAACACTTATTAATCAAAGCACTATTTGAGTGAACTCCGGAAAGAGATTGAGTATGTAGATAAAGCCTTGAAGTAATGAAGAAGGATATGAGTTAGTTCTCACCAAAAAATAATATAATTGGCGATCAAAGAAGAGCTTAATTTACTTGTAGTATTCTTGTTGGCTTATGGGTCATTTAGCAGTTGGATCAAACAATATTAATGTTTATGCTTGTGTTACTCTTTCTTCCACAACACTTCTCACTCTTCTGACTTTTATCCTCAGGGATATTAGACTTTTTCCTCTTACTTTATATTACATTCCTATTTTGTCGCTTTGGTTTAATCCCTTTGATACACAAAATTGATCAATATATAATTTCTCATAACATTGTCATTTAAAGCCTCCTCTTGCAAAAAGGGGGCAAGATTGATTTTAAGGACAGAAAATAACATTGAAACAATGTGGAAGTGAGAGAGCACAACGGACGTTAAGACATCCATCATTTCTACATTTTTCTTGTCTCCTAAATGGAAGTCTGTTTCCAGTTTTCCAAACTAGGTGGTATTCCATATAATGTGATATTTCTCTTCTTTCTCCACAGAAAAAGCTCCAAACACCTCTTTAAAGAGAAAAAGAATTGATGGGAATGAACAAACAAAGTCTGTTCAAGGTGAGTAAACTTTACAACGCATGTCATTTAACCCTTTAACACCTAAGAGTGACTGGCATCTATTTTCTCCTTACAAGATCACCCCTGATTCAAACATTAAGGTCATGAGAATAAGGGAAATGATCAACAAGAAGAAGCTCTTGATTGTTAAACAAATTTTCTTTTTCAGAACCTTAAGAAATGTGTAGAGAAAGTATGGAGAATATGCATATTGATATTAGGGTGTAAAGGGTTAATTATAACTGTTAATAAATTCTAATACAAAGAATAAAGCTGGTCGGTGAACACTTATACGTAGTGATTCAGATGTCATAGAAAGTGACTGAACTATGAAAGTTTTCCAAAATGCTAGGGCTTTGAAGAAATTCTTTTCTGTAGCATAACTTTCATATCCTGTCTGTAACACTTTGAGCAATTGCAAATAAACGTAGTAGAGGCTTCGCTTTAGCTGTGTACTTAACGAGCAGTTGGGACTATTTTTGATTACTAGTCGTGATAGCAAACAGAACAACTTGACTGAATACCAAAGTGATGGCCAACGGCCAAAACTTGACAGAATTGACATAATTAATATCGACCAAGCTTCGACCGCACGTTTAGACAACAATACAGCGGATTACTATCAGTCTTGGTGAAAAATCTCTAACATAAGATCAAGACGGGTGTATCTGGATTTGCAATTCAACTAAATAAGAAATTTCTGTCTAACAAGGTCCACATTGGTTACAGTTCTATAACTGAAACGTTTTCTCGGTCTTAATTTCCCCCTTAAAGTTACTAGTTGTGTTACAACTCTCCCCTTTCTACACCCTTCTTGCATAATTTTGCCTTTCTTAATTTCTTTTCAAATTGTTTGATTTTTAGGTGGAACTTTTGTGAGCTATGCCAACTTATCAAACAAGAACACTGACAACCCCCCTTCCCCCTATTGAATAATCATCCTCCCCTTCTCTCTCACTGTCCAAAATAGATGGAAAACCTGATTCTATTTCCACTCTATTTACAACTTTATAAAGCGTCAACTACGGTCAAATCAGAACAGTTTATTAAAACACCACCTGGATTAAGCGACTTGCTTTTAATAAGCGCCCCTTCTTTTAACCACAACTTGAAATAATTCGTGCCTGGGTGCTTATTGGAGGAAATGCATGTAAAGTTATTGAATGTGGCGAAGCAAAGACCTTCGTGTACCAGTAATTGCTGATTGGGATGAAGCTATATAATATATGTAGTATTTCTTTAACAGTTTCTGGTCTTTCTGCTTTATTTTCAACTTAAAAGGGATATGTACGGAAATACTGGTAGCACTTAATTAATTAAAGCACTATTTGAGGGGAAATGAGTTAGTTCTCAAACATAGAACAATGGTGATCAAAGAAGAGCTATTTACATGTATTCACGTTTGCTTACATGTCATCCAGCACAAATGGATCAAACTTATCATTAATGATTTTCCATGTATCCCTTTTCTACAAATTTCTCGTCACTCTAATGACTTTTTCAATGAAGCTAAAAGGAGGCAAAAGATTCTCTTACTTTTACTTATAGTTAGCACTAATATAGTTAATGTATTTAAAAATTGAGCCTTGCCTGTGTTTGTTGGTTAATTTAATGTGTGCATAATTTGTATTTTTTCATATTCATCAGATTCAGGTACAGCTCCATGTGATTCAACAGAAGAAGAATTGAAAAATAAAAAGGAAGTCTCTGCAGCAACGTGTAGGGCTGTAGAAGGTACATACCATATGCCTATTGGCAATTTATATATTTCAACTAATTTTGGAGCTGGGAAATGTGAAGGGATGGGCGGGAGAGGGGGGGATCAATGTAGATTAATACAGACCAGGAAATTACGGAAAAGAAGGGACTGGCAGTACTGATATTAGACTTTGTACTCATATTGTGTAACAGTTGTATTCCATTTGTTTGCTTTCATTCCTTTAATACCCAATGTTGACCAACGTGTAATTTCTCACAACATCTTAGTTTAGAGCCTCTTCTGGCAAGAAGGGGCACAAATTTGTTTTTAGACAGAAAATTGGGTAAATTGTAAAGCACAACAAAGCCTGCCAAGATATGATTTTTTTATAACTGTCAATAAACTTTAATACCAAGAACATAGCTGGTCAGCAAATGCTAAAAATTAATGATTTAAAGTCATAGAACATAATTTTCTTATCCTGTCTGTAAAGCTTACGTGAACTGAATTTCAATCAAATCCAGACTTTGCTTTAGGCGTTTTGTTAACGAGCTCTTGGGACTTTTGTTGATAACAATGTGTTACAAATCGAGATAAGCAACCATTTTCCAGTAGAGGTTTGAAAGGATATAATCTCCTCGCGCGAGGTGATTTTAGCGAGATATGACGCAATCCTTGACCAACCAGAGTGCATGCATTTCTATAGTCACCGGAGCAATTATACGTATCAGTCATTATTATCATAATTAGTATTACTGTAATTGTTATTGTTACAAATTTTCTTGTTACTTAATTTTCCTCCCAACGTCGCTAGTTCCAAAATATATCTGATGTCTCTACATCTTCCTTGGAGTTTGATGCCAATCTTAATTTCTTTTCACATTATATGATTTTAGGCGGCACTTATGTTAGCGAGGACAACAAGGAATTGAATCAGTTACACTCTGGTGAAGGAGACAGTAACGTCACTGAGATGAAATTGACGCTTCCTCGTGGATTTTCTGTTGACTCCAGGGACGCAACAGGCAGAACTCCGCTAATGAATGCTGCTTTGAATGGCAACGTTCAAGTGGTGAAAAGTATAATGAATAGGGGAGCAGACCCATCTCTGATGGACAACAGAGGATGGAACACGTTACATCTTGCCGCACAGAGCGGAGACACTCATATTCTATCTCTAATCCATTCTCACCTGCCCAACATTGAGTCAAAAACAGGCGAGGGTTACACGCCACTAATGGTGGCGGCTACCCATGGCAAATTACATGCAGTGAAATGGTTTCTTGAGAAGGGGGCAAATGTAGCCTGTGAATGCAACAGAGGAGGGAACACGTTACATTATGCCGCACAGGGCGGAGACACTGATGTTATATCTCTAATCCATACTCACCTGCCCAACATTGAGTCAAAAACAGGCGAAGGTTACACGCCACTAATGGTGGTGGCTCTCACTGGCAAATTACATGCAGTGAAATGGTTTCTTGAGAAGGGGGCAACTGTAGCCGGTGTATGCAACAGAGGATGGAACACGTTACATCTTGCCGCACAGGGCGGAGACACTGATGTTATATCTCTAATCCATACTCACCTGCCCAACATTGAGTCAAAAACAGGCGAGGGTTACACGCCACTAATGGTGGCGGCTTTCACTGGCAAATTACATGCAGTGAAATGGTTTCTTGAGAAGGGGGCAAATGTAGCCTGTGAAGACAACACAGGATGGAACACGTTACATTTTGCCGCACAGGGCGGAGACACTTATATTATATCTCTAATCCATACTTTCCTGCCCAACATTGAGTCAAAAACAGGCGAGGGTTACACGCCACTAATGTTGGCGGCTTTCTCTGTCAAATTACATGCCGTGAAATGGTTTCTTGAGAAGGGGGCAAATGTAGCCTGTGAAGACAACACAGGATGGAACACGTTACATCATGCCGCACAGAGCGGAGACACTGATATTATATCTCTAATCCATACTCACCTGCCCAACATTGAGTCAAAAACAGGCGATGGTTACACGCCACTAATGGTGGCGGCTCTCACTGGCAAATTACATGCAGTGAAATGGTTTCTTGAGAAGGGGGCAACTGTAGCCGGTGTATGCAACAGAGGATGGAACACGTTACATCTTGCCGCACAGGGCGGAGACACTGATGTTATATCTCTAATCCATACTCACCTGCCCAACATTGAGTCAAAAACAGGCGAGGGTTACACGCCACTAATGGTGGCGGCTTTTCGTGGCAAATTACATGCAGTGAAATGGTTTCTTGAGAAGGGGGCAACTGTAGCCTGTGAAAGCAACAGAGGACGGAACACGTTACATTGTGCCGCACAGGGCGGAGACACTGATATTATATCTCTAATCCATACTCACCTGCCCAACATTGAGTCAAAAACAGGCGATGGTCACACGCCACTAATGGTGGCGGTTTTCGCTGGCAAATTACATGCAGTGAAATGGTTTCTTGAGAAGGGGGCAACTGTAGCCTGGAACGTGTTAAATCTTGCCGCATTTTGCAGTGACCCTGACATCATTGATCTTATCCTTACTCACCTGAGTCACGTGCCTTGAAGTGAGTCAACAACGGGCAATGATTAACTCAGGTTGGTGAAGTAAGCTTTACAGCTTATTTTATACAGACATAGTTTGATGCTACACTGGTTTGCAGATTTAATGAATGTAACCGAAGAAGTTACAATTCATAGACCCTATGGGTCTATTCATAGGGTCTAAATCTGCAAACCAGTGTAGCATCAAACTATGTCTGATTGTCCACCTGGTTGCCGTGTGAACTTTAATATAGCTTATTTTATGTTTGCTTAACTGTTCAATGTCAAAATGTAACTCACTGCTTTGTTAGTTCAGTCAACTTCAAAGCCATTCTTTTTACCAAGTCATCTATTGCTGCAAATTGATGTTTTTAACAGGCTGTGTGTTATTTGATATCTTATCGACTTGACCTACTTACAATCTCTACAAGTTGTGAGTTGAGTAACAGCTTCGGTACTGAATAGCTTATGTCGTTAAAGTTGCACTTGAGCCTGGGCTTCCTGTGGCGTGTTGGCAGGGCGTAATGATTTAGTTCTGTTACGCTAGTTTATTTCAACACTGTGTGCATACAAGCATTTTTCTCAGAATTTGGTTATCCAGCGTTTGAAAGCTTTCATGAAATCAAAGTTATACATAAAGTTACCTGAAGACAAAAGTCAGTGGCATGTGGACAGGCTCTGTCAGAGCACAGCCATAAGCTTAAAAGATATGAATGATCCGAATGAATCCTATGTTGCGGTGTTATTGCTGGGCTGCATAAGACGATGTACCAAGATATACAGCCTCTTAGTGCAGCGTGTTCTTGTTCAAATGTCGTAGGAATCTTCATTTCTCTTCCTAAAATACTAATTGGTTTTGTCTCTTAGATTGCAGATTGCGTGGTGTTGTCAATAGTTGATGTTCTCGTGTGGCTTGTACTATACAGGAAAAACTGTCAGTGTTGGAGATTTTTGAAAATGAACACACTCTGATCACCGCCTGAAGTGTATGTCTGTACGATATTGCCGGTGATTTTATTTCTACGTAGTTAAACTTTTTAAAAATTGATATGATGTTATGTATATTTCACAACTACGAGGTTGGTTTTTTTACTAGAAGGCATTAATTTCGAAGACAGAAGTAAAGATTTCTGCAATGTTACCGGCCTCTTTATTTTTTCCTTATTTTAAGACGTTTTGAAATTAATATGACTATGTATATTTTTCAAAAGTAAATGGGTGTTCTTTTACCATATAACATTTTTGTATTAAAAAACACTCAATTGTAATATTATAGCTGTGAAGTTTTATGCAAAAGTTGGAAATATGAACGTTGAACAGGTGTATGAACAAGTTTATATCCCAAACTAAGAATGCGTTTTGATAACATTTGTACCAAGCTAATGTCGAGGTTTTAAATACTATTTTATATAATAGTAAATAGCTTTTACATTTCACGCGATGTACAGAATATCTCATTTTTCGAGGAAATTTGTTAATAGAATACATGAAGAAATTTCTGCATTCTGATTGGTTGCAGTACAGTTTTCAGGCAACACCAATGCAGAAGAGAGCTAATGCAGTGCAGAACATCGTTAATTCAGTGAAAAAACGATAACGAACTGTTTAATCGCTTAAAAAAGAAAGGCACGTCGAAAAATTTCCCCTTTTACTAAACACGTTGATTTGACCTAACGCACAATGACGTTTGCAAGGTTTGGATGAATCATTTTGTACGTGTTTTAACCCTCTTTGTTTCTGCGTTATCAGGTGAAGCTATATCGAAAATTAGATCATTTATAAATGAATTAGAAGTGACATGATTTTTCTTAAGCAATTAGAAATGAGTAAGCACTCGTAATTTTTAAAAAGACTTCAAATTGCAACTCCAATCGTAACAAATTTTTAGTTAACCTTTGTAAGCGAGGTTATAACATTAGTCAATAAATTTTTATATCACCGAACGAAAGAAAGTGTTGTTTGTCAATGGGAACGACTTTGATATTTCTAGCGTCTGGGAAAGTAGTAAAAAAATCCCTGTTTGGATAAAATATGGAGAAAGGGGAAAGGTGAAGGGAGCAGAATTTATATATCGTCTACGGGGAAGGGGGCCTCTTATTTTCAGAGGGGGAATTTTTTGTTCTTTAGGGGAAGGGGAGGTTGGATCAGTTTTCGCTATAAAGTGGTATAGAGGGGAAGTGGGTGTCTGCCAATGAGGGGGATCATTAGAATACTACAGAGCCTGGGGGGGGGGGGGAAATCAGGTAAATTTTATTCTGACTCAAACGAAATCCTTCGACCACACCCCCTCCCAGGTCATAAATAATAAGCGGTCCCAAACAAAAAAAGAAAAAACATTCGAAGGATTGAAGAATTGCGTTCAAGAAGGGTACAGTAGTTAACCCTTCCCAGTCCTCTCCCCGTGTTCACAATAGGTGAGCCTTTGACGATTGTGTTAGCTTCAGTTTTGGCAAAATTTAGCAAACCACTGAAGTAGACAAGATCGTTTTTGTGTTTGGATACTGCTTCCACATTCTTGACTTTGCATATCTAGCAAGGCTACTCAAAAACTAAGTAATTTAGTTTTATCAATTGAGTTGACAATGTAAACCGGCCACCGTAAATAGTTAAACAGCTAAAGTTTCGAGCGTTAGCCCTTCGTCAGAGCAATTGACGAAGAGCTAGCGCTCGAAACGTCAGCTTTGAAATTCTTCACGGTGGCCAATTTATGTTATCAATTCTGTTGATAATACTAAATTACCCTGTTATACTCTCCCACCGACGCAGCACCACAATCTCTTTAGGAACTTGCTCCCTTCACTCAAACACTATTCAGGCAAAGGAATGCAAATAACTTGCAAAAACGCTACGTTCATTTTTCATTTCAAAATTAGCCCTGGCAATTTAGAAAACTGACTACTGACGGCTTGCTTCCTATGATAGAGCACGTACACGTATAAAGTGTTATCGTTGTCAAAAATTGTATAGACGTAGCAGTGTACTTTTTTGCAAGGTTGCATCGTCAAGTACACGTAATTTTACGACAGAAAGCTTTATACGAGCGGATATTTTGCTCATTGCTCGTATTTTCCTCTTTCACGTAACTAAGCATTTCTCAAAATATCCGCTCGTATTGTTAATGCATCTAATAAAGTGTATTTTAAGTAAAACCAAGCTGACCAGAGCCATCTACTGGAGTGAGTTGTTACACTTTTAGCGAACTCTTTGTCCGTCGACGATCAACTGGCTGTTGTCGCGAGGCTTCTTTGGAAGTTGAAACTGACGCTTTCGTGGCCGCTGCCGACGTGGAGGAATGACTAAAGTTGCCTAAGATGTAGGCGTTGGTTGTACTGTATGCTGGACCAGAATGTAAAAGGATTTTTCCTTTCTTCTTTTATTTCTAAGAGGTCTAACCGATATTTAAATTGTGTGTTCAATACATATTCATTACATCAGTGTAATTATACGACCAGAGGTAAGGATTGATATAATCTAAAGGAAGGAAACTTCAATTAAATAAAATTTACGTGTCATTGACATGCTCCTAAGAACATTAAAAGCTTCAGTGGCAAAATAAACTTTTCTTGACTGCATTATTATTTGGTTTATGTGGTGAAACGTATATTGCGCGGACAAGCGCTAGGTATTCCCACGTAAATTGTTTAGCCGTTAACGCGTTTTTATTTCAAGCAGAGAAAATATGGAAAGAGAGAGGAATTTTTGCAATGAGAGTAAAATATAGATAAGGGAAAAAAAAGTGGCGGGGGGGGGGGGAAGGAAGGGGTAGGTAGACAAACCCGCCCCGATGTTTCATGGAATGCTGGAAGCAACGCTTCGGCTCTTAAATAAGAAGCACTGTAGCTTGTATGTTAAAGTTCAGCGGAAATGTTTCCTACCCTCTTTCATCAGAAATAAGACCAGCAGTTGTATTTCCCCCAAGCACAGCCCCATTATTGCAATTAACTGCCAAAGCAATAGCCACCGATTCAACCGCCGCCACAGCTGCACCAACTGTAGCGGATACAGCTACATATGTTGCAACAATTTCAGAATCCATGCATTCTAGTCACACCAGCCCGAAGTACGATTACCTTCTCGACCAAAGCCGTAGCTACGGCTGTTGCTTCCTTCATAGCCTCTCTACACTGTCAGAGGGAGGTTTGCGGGATTTAAAGTACAGCCATGACACTACATCAATAACAGACAATGACGCAGTTTTTAGAAGATCATCAGCAGTTTGTCGGCCACAAAATGACTTGCGAGCTAATACTAGGCCAGTAATACCAAATCAGAGAACAAGAAAGCCAGCTGAACATATGCCAAGATGCTGATGTAAAATAAGATTCTTACAATGATCTATATTATACCTATTGTGGATGGCAACGAATAAGGCAACAATGGACAAGGCAATGACTAATAAAATACACAAGCCCCAAGTTGGATTAATCACGATGCCAATTGCAACCCAGTACAAATGATATAACACCAAGTTTATGCTAATACTTAGAGGAAATCTACAGCAAATTAAATAAGATTATGTGTTCTTAGGCTTTAAATTTTTTATACCTTAACAGCGGTGAAATAACACCGCGAAAAATTCCAACACTATAACCACAAAAACTACAGAAACGTCTGAAGGACTTACCCATGACTAAATATGCACTAGATGTCAGCAGCACGGCGCAAATAAATGCAGCCTCTATTACTAACAGGAAATAACACAGTAATGTCACACATGTCACATATGACAGAACACCATGAAAGTGCCTTGAAGTAATGAATGCGTCCTGTAGCCTCGATGTCTGAAAAGTGCCCATCTGTGACGCATTGCGCAGATTTCAATCGCGCATCTCGTAAGCTTGGATTTACAACAAAGATCTTGGAGCTGCAGAATAATCAGACAGTACTAGTACAAGACGTGTACTATTGAAAGTACAATTTTTATGAGTTTATTGAGTTCAGACTTTGAAGATAGGTTTTTTTGGTCCAGTTGCCGGGGCACTTTGGAACAGGGTCGCTCAATATGCTATTAAGCAGTGATCTAAATTCTGTATGAAACTATGATTATAAATCAGCATGATCTGAAATGAGGAACAGCCAAACATGTTTTGAAAACCTGCAGAAACTGTGTAAGTTCTAAGTGCGACATTTTTTTTAACTTGTTGGTTTTTCTTTTCTTCTCTTTTTCTCTTTACGTAAGTCCATTTAAGTCTTTTCGCTCTGTAATTATACTTAATGTTTCATTAGCGCTTTTCTTGTCATTTCGTTGCCGCCTTCTGTCGCTCTGTGCTGCCTGCATAATGTATCATGTAATATAACCGTTTCCTCTTTTTTTCGCCAAGAGCAGTTGAGTAATGTTTCTGTGGCCGTAACAATGTAAGTATTTTTGTAATCTTGTTGTTCGTTATTTTTTTTAGGTTGTATATTGTGTAACTGGTGAAACCGTTTGTTATTTTCTTTAGTTTCAACCAACGTCAGTTGTATTAAAGATACAAACTAACTTGTAGATCGCAACGCCTTACATTCTTTTTCGTTTGTTTACTGTTCTTGTGCAAGGGTGCTAATTGTAGTAAAATTTTGTGTGCGCTTTCTTTGTGTCATTGCGTAACGTTGCATAACGTAGAATGTATTCAACCGTATTGTTCATCGTAGTTTGGTACAGTTTTTGCAGTGTAGTTTCGTCGAGTGTAGTTTGGTATATTTGTTCTTTTAGCTTGGTGCAGTTTGTTCGCCACTAGGCAGGATCTATAACATCGCAACAAATGTAAGTTTTGTATCATGTAGTTTTCTTCGTTGTTTTCATTGTAGCTTTCCTTGTGTATTTAGTCTACTTTATATTGTAATAGTTTTCGTTCACTGTTTTATTTGCAGTTTTAACCGTACCGTGTCGTTTCGTTCCGCGTTAAAAATTGCGCTAGAATTGGTTAGTATTAGTCGCCAGTGGCAGTTACATAACTGATCCATTCATGCTTAAATTCAAGCACAAACAAAAGCATTTTGGCAGCTTTAAACTATTTCCCTCCCAAGATCTTACTAGTAATTCTCCTTACTGTCTGATACACAATTTCAAGAATTTAATTCAGAGAATTTGGTATTAGATCAACTTATAATACCCCACTTGACATTTTCTTACTTCTCTTCACTTGTCTACTTGATATTGTATTAACATTGTAAGGAGAAATTCTGTTTTGGTCACCAATGGAAGTCAAAGGGTTAAATAACAATGCACAAGTAAATAACAAGTCAGTTTTAATAGCATGTTATTATTTTGATAGTGTCTTTATAATCCATGAATACACAGAGAAAGATCATAATCAGACAAACTTGTTACAAGTGAGACAATTACTCAATACATCATTTTAATAGGCATTGCGTTATGCAACGATAGAGCGTGACATTTATGTGCTTTTGGATTACCGAGCATTGTTGGCTTGAAATGCACATTACAAGTATGATGTAGTTACCTATGCATATTAACAAATTTCAAATGGTAAATAAAATAAAGCCTTCTGCAATGACTATCAAAACAAAGTTGTCTTCCTTACTTTAGATAACATGTCTTGTCAGTGTGAGAGATGGGTAAGTAAAAGCAAAACAGCTGACTTTGGGTGTGGATAAAATGACTCTTAGGAGGTGGATTGGATTCAAGGGTGGGCTCTATTTAATCGTGCAATTAGCAAAGGAAGTTGGGGGAGGCTGCTGAAATGTTTTTTCATTCTAGAGTTGAGCGCTTGAACGATGCCATCCAACACAACTTTCATTCGCTGCTTTCTGCCTGTTCCGTCTCCGGAGTCTATAGACAATCCAAAAGGAAGCGTGGACTTCATCTTGGTGACGTCGCTGTCTCTTTCAGCAGATTGTAACTGATTCAATGCCTTGTTGTCCTCGCTCACAAAGGTGGCGCCTAAAATCGTAAAATTTTAAAAGGAATTAAGGCAACATAATACAAGAACGATGTAGACACAAGATTTATTATGGAACTCGTAAATTTTACTTTAGGAGAAATATTAGGCAACAAGGAGATTTGCTATTGTATTCACGAGAAGTCAAGTTTTCCGGTCGATCTGTAAATCTCATAAGAGAGACTTAGAGTCTCTCTGGCCATGACCAAGTGTGTCGACGCGTGGATTAAAATGCACGCGTGATCTGCACAATACGAGCGGATCACTTGCTTAGTGCATATGCAAACAACAAGGGTGTAACTAGTTCTACCAAAGAGCAACACACGAAGTGCACGACACATCACCAGGCTAGCAGACAAAATCCAAGTATCCCTAATAAGATTCACGGATGGACAACACGACCCGAGAATACATTAGGCGATTCGTACGGGTCACACGATTCGTGAATTTTTCACACGATCCCAAGGGATCGTACGAAACGACAAAATCCACCATGGCCTGAAAGACTCTCAAGTGGTGAAAAAAGTCTCCTTAATAACATTTATGGATCGACACCACGACCTCACGACTCGTGAATACAACAGACGACTCGCGCGTTAGGAGCTTACGACTCGTGAAAACATTACAGATCATTACACTATCCGTACGGATCGACGAGTCTCTTTTACAACTCGTTACGATCCGTGATATTGGACAATCCTCGCCAAACTTGTAAGTAAAAAACAAAAAAGAAAAATGTAGAAATTATGAGAGTCTACAGATAAGTTGTGATCTTTCCCTTGCAAATTGCTTTACTTATATTTCGGTCCTAAAACAAATTCTTGCCCCTGTTGGGAATATCTCGGTTTCTGCTCGCTAAAAAATCTAATTAGTTACGAACTTCCCGTTCGCTAAACACAAACAAACAACTCCTGAAGATTCACGTTTTTTTTTTTTAAGAATAAATTCTCCTCACTGGATTTCATGAGGTTTTTCCTCTAAACTCAAAAGGATGCGTCCTTGGAAATTACAATAAATCCATTCACGTACTGTATTAAACCTATTCCTATTGATTAAACGTCATCATCCATCTCTGATCTATGTCAATCTGCGCTTACATTCAACAGTCGCTTCCAGTCGGTGATTAGTAATCAAATAATCAAGTCAAACATGAACAACGAGAAAAGTAAAATGCCAATAATATCAACATCTCTTATTAAAACAAGAGGCTCTAAATGAAGATGATATGAGAAATCACTTGTTGATCAACTTTCAGTTTTTAAGGGATTAAGGCAAAGCACCAGAGTATAGATGTTACATAAAACAAAAGTAAAATAGTATAATATCACTGATCCGTCCCAGTTCCTCCCCTTCAGCTATTCTATGTTCTTTAAACCACCTTGTATACTTAATTACTGATAGGCATACGGTATACCTTCTGAATCTGACGAATAAGAAAATAATAATTAGAAATAAACCAATAACCGCATTCAATAAATGAACCAACCACAGGCAGGACTCAAATTTTTTGACATGTTTAATGTATAGCAAAGTAAAAGAAAGCATATTTTGCCTCCAGTTTCAGCTTCAGTGAAGTGTGGGACTTGATTGTTGTGTGGAAAAAAGGGAGAAAATTTTATATGCTCAAACATTCAATGTTTGATCTAGTTGCCAATCAACTTACCTATAAGCCATAAATAGATGTAAACAGCTACTTTTGATCAACATGTTGTTCTATGTTTGAGAACTGACTCATTTCCTTCTTTATTTCTTCAAGGTTTATCTATACACACTCATACAATCTCTTTTTGGAGTTTAGTCAAATAGTGCTTTGATTAATAAGCGTTGGGATGATAAAGTTCTACAGGTATTGTTTCCATATATTTCTCTATAAGTTGTAAGTAAAGCTGAAACTGTTACACAAATTCTATACTTACTAAATTTATAAGCTTTATCTCAGTCAGCAATTACATTAAGGTCTTTGCTTCACCATAGTTGATTATTCTAAATAATATATAATATATATTATAATAATCCTCTAACATAACTTACTTTTTATCATCTTTTTAACCCTTTAACTCCAATGAGTGACCAAGACAGAATTTCTCCTTACAATATCAATGCAATATCAAGCAGACAAGTGATGAGAATAAAGAAAATATTAATTAGGGAATTATTATTTGATCCAACTCCAAATTCTCCAAACTAACATCAGAAAAACTATATGGCAGACAGTAAGGAGAAGTACTAATGAGATCTTGGGAGTTAAAGGGTTAAGAACTATTTTTTGCCAGATCTTATAAATTTATTGATCTGTTCCATACAAGCCAGTCTAACTGACAGTTACAATAAGCTGTTTAACCTGCAATATTACACTGGACATTCACACCACTGATGCAGACTCTGTTTGTTCATTGCTCTCTGTTTCTCCATCTTCTAAGCTGCTGTACATGTGTGAAACATTGACTATGGACAGTGGAAAGAAATATCAAGTAAGCTTATATCATAGCCAGCAAACATCACAAGCCCAAACACAAACAAAAGAAAAAGCAAATTAATATTGTTTCTGAGGAGCTGAATATTAAGTGTTTTTGCTTAAAATGACTAATATGTTTTGCATTTCAGTTACACAACAACAAACAATAATGTAGCTGATTATATCTCTCAGTTAATATGTGCAATATGATTGGTCAGTTTAGCAGACTGTATTTCACTGTATGGCCCGCTAAATTCAAAAGTTTGTTCAATTTGGTTTCTTCCCCTCTATTTGAATCTAGAGGTAGAATAAATATTGTACTAGTATTGTTTTCTTGGTCACTACTGTAAGTTACAGAACCTTGTTTTTTACCCCTCGGATTTATGGTCTGCATGCATTGCCTTTGGGCTATAAATGCCCGCTGAAAAAACAAGGTTCATAACTTAATGTGGAGACCTTTGATTTTGGATGAACCCTGGAAAGCCCCTAGTTCGAACGGGGTACAGAAATTATTCTGTGGATTTGAATCCTTGTTAGGGCCTTAAAAAGTTCATGGTTACCTTGGAATCAATAGCTGGGATATGCATATGTGCATTTAAACGCTCAATCCGTAGTGGGGAGTTCGGAAGCAAACCTTTTCCTCCTCAACCTATTTTTGGAGCTCGAAGCCACCGCAGGAAGAGGAACAGTTTCGGGTTACAGGTTTTTTCTCTTCGAGATTACAAAACTATCCATAACATTACCGTAAGATGCCGAGAAAAACGGCATGTTCGTAGTTTAATCGATACTTTTCCTTCCATAAAATGCCTGCCTAACACTAAAGTAAAAACTGCAGTATAAAGGAAATAATTTATTATATAAAAACATTGAAATACATAGACAATCAATGAAAGTTGAAGTGAGTTTCATACTTAGACTACAGTAACATCATCATGCTATGAAAACATTTGATGCTTGTGACTTAATAAAACTGACACTGTTGCAATGTTGACGTAAGATATTCCTAATGACAAACGTCCAAGTCTCGGAGAATCATAGCACTAATTACAAAGGAGGAAAAAAGAATAGTTGTTTAAACAATTGCATTGAGAGATAAATTCAAAATGCATCAAGCTGATATGCTGTATGTTCTATAGTTACAGAAAGTTTTCCTCCTAATCTATTCAAACGCTACTGATAGCAGACACAGTCGAACTTTTCCATTAAGGCCACTTTAAGGGCAGAGGAAAATGCGGGATGTTGAAGAATGCTGACCGTCAAAGGGAGATGTGAAATTATTTCAGAAAGAAATGAATTAGATTGTCATATTCAATGAGAGCCGGGAATAGTGGAGGTTTAAATATATGGCTAAACAAGATGATAAAATATCTTTGCTTGCATACTTTTATTTCTATGAAGTCTAAATCAATGGGGTGAGTACCAAAGACGTCACAGGAAATCGATATAATGTTATTAACTAAGAAATAAGAACTAAAGCTCTCTAGAAGCAAGCAAAGTGAAGTCAAACACGTATTAGGCCACATAAGCCCCTAAGAGCGAATTTTACCTCTAGCTAACACTTGCGTAAAATCATTATCTGTCCTTAATATAAAGCAGGAGCATTTTTGACGAGCGAACCCTTGGTACTCTTACATAAACTGTTAGACCACCACCATTAAGACCAAGGCAAGAAGGCGAGGATAAATTTTTTTTAGAGAGCCTGCACGAAAGGTAAAAGCAAGGAGGGGAAGTGGGGAAGCAGACCAACATTGATTCAAAGCGATGGACACTCGGTGTTTTAACGTCCGGAGGCACTTTGGATTTCGTTTAGGGGATGTGTCTCCTCCCTTAGTCCATTTCCATTCGGGGTGCTATTTTCGTTTCCACCTTGCGCGGCTTTAGGTTTTGAATTTTCAGTCTTGACTGCAGCCAAAGCAACAGCCACAGCTTCAGCCGCCGCCACAGCTGCACCAGCTGCAGAGGATGTAGCTATAGCTGCTGCCACAATTGCAGAATGAACCTCAGTCCCATCACGCTGAGGTACAGTTATTTTTTCGGCTAGAGCCCTCGCTGCAGCTGCTGCTTCCTTAGCAGCCTCAACACACTGTGAAGTATCAGAGGAAGCTTTGCGGGATTTGAAGTACAGCCATGACACAGCACCGATAACAGACAATAACGCTGCTTTTAGAATATCGTCTGCAGTTTCCCGACCATAAAATGACTGTCCAACTAATACTGGAGGGACGACAACAAAGCAGAGACCAAGGAAGCCAGGTGTATATGCGAAAAGGGTAGAAAGGCGGGAGTCATTTGCGTGGGTTGTTTCATTGATAACAAAAAAAAGGGTAATGCAAAAAAAGGATAGTATCAGCAAAATAGAAACGCCCCAAGCTGGATTAACCATGATACCCACTGCAACCCAGCTCAAATGGTAACTAACAAAGCTCGTGCACATAATAAGCAATAATCTGCTGAAAAATGAACTAATATCCAGATCTTCACAACAAAGGCAGTTACAACAGCATATCACTAACCATTCTGGTATAAGTGCAAGGAGTGCCATAAAGTCTCGCGACATATTTCCTCTTTTTGAAATTTCGGTGGATGTCCACACTCTAGCTAAAACAAAGATGACCTCTATCAGCAACAGGAAACAACAAAATAAAGTTACTGAACGTATCAGTGGTTCTTCGTTTCTACGACAAATATAATCTACCCTTCTACGATTTCCATCGCTACCCGCTGAGAGTGATATACCTTGAGTGTCATCTTTTAAGTATTGTAAGACCCAAAGATATAAAAATGGACCAAAAAACATGGGACACAGGAAAGAAAACCACAAAACTACTCTTAAGTAAGAACGACCAGTAGTCTTCATGTCTGGGATGTGCCCTTCTATGACAGATTCTGCAAAATTCAAGCGTGGATCTCGCAAGCCAGAAGTTACAGCAAGGTCTTGAAGCTGAAAAAAAACTATACATCAGACGTGACTATAAGAGTGGAGCGTGCAAGAGTGAAAAACCGTTTTTAGTAATAGAAGTATTTTATTCAAACAGTTCTAGAGATAGTGATCACTGACGGCGATTTCGACAACTTGAGTGAAAGTCATCATTTTCGATTTAAAAGGCATTTAGCAGTCAATACATAAAACGTTGTAAACCGCTCACTGATTTTCCGATAGCAGAAATCTTATATATAGGTTCAAATCCTGGTACGGGCCTGAATTTTCTTCAAGTCTCATTTCAACTACTAGTTCAGTAGTGTTCATATCTGCGAGGACCACTTATATCTCATATCTTCACCGCAGTGCACATATATGATTCTCATATATTTCCAGTCATCTTATATTTGTATATTTATATATATATATATATATATATATATTTTAGTCATTTTGAACTGTATTTCAAAACATAGATGTCCCGTATGGGAACCCAAGCGACGGCTGGGCGTCGACCAGCCGCAACAGCGTATTGATACACAAACCACTCAAAATCTATAAGTGAGTAAGATTCCGAAATATTTTTGTACAAAAGAAAAATGTGAAGGTGGCGGCTTAGGTAAAGTGAGATTTAAATTTAGTAGAATGAGTGCCTTTTGTATTACGGATATTTTTAATTATTTCTACCATGGAAAATTGTCAAATACTTTGAAAAAATACTTCGTGGCTAATAACACGCTGCGTTTCGTCTCGGCTAAAAGACTCATCAGAAACCTTTCGGAATTTCTAAGCAAACTCGTTGAGCATTGCGCTAACATCTTGAATTCGCGAATGGGACTTTGTGTGCTAATATAAAATAGCTAATTGAAATACTTACAGCAGCCAGTGCAGTTTTAATCATTCTTTTCCTGTCTTTTACAGAAACATTGCAGCAAAAGAATGGAATTGTGATGTTTAGTTCTTGCGTGCGTGGAGTCACCAGTATTGAGAAAAAGGATGAGATCTCCAAGAAAACAGCGGGAAAAGCAGCATAAAGGCTTCTCAAGCTCCATATGTATTTCATTACATCAGGCACGGAATCGTTGCCCGTTTTATCTGTTCCATTCTGACCATATAAATTGACGAAGACTAGAACTGAGGAAGGCTCATTTGCCGGATATAAGGCGTATTCGATGTTAAAACTGTTCACATCTGAATCTAAGGATTTGTAGATGTCAGCATAGGTTCCAATACAGATAGTGGTGTTGGCGCATTTACTTACTACGTCTGCTATGGTGCAAATAAAAAGACTGCTGATCAAATGAAACACAGCGTAGAGAATTATGGATTTCCTTTGTGTCACATATGCCATTTTCTCTCTGACCGTGGATTGGAGGGTTTTCCTGTACCAAAAGAGTTCAAACGAAATGAGGTTTAGCCCTTTTCGGAAAGTTATAGAGGCAGATCAATCATGAAAAGCATTATTGCTGATGAGAGATTATCAGAATACTGTAAAGCTTAAGAGGGGGATCATGTAAACTTAATCGTGACCCAACCAAAACCCTCCAACCACCCCCTTCAGGCGACCGGTCCATGACATTTCCCCATTCCCCCTCAGGCGACCGGTCCATAAAATTTCAAGCTCGAGTTGTCAGAAGTTCAAGAAAACAAATGATCTTAAATAAACACAAAAACGTTTTACCTGATTTCTCTTCATAAAATGTAATTTTAATCAAAATAGGCGTAAGTTAAGTCAGTATTAAAAAAAAGACGTTAGGGGTCAATTAAGCAGCAAGGTTATATGAAAATGCAATGCACTGTAATGAAATAACCCTGAAGCAGTTTGTTTATTCCATTGTCCTTAAATCACATACAATCATGCTTTTGTGGGCTTGCTGTAATTTGCGAAATGGAAATATGCTAATGTTCTGTAACTTGCGAAGTGTAAATCTGTGATTTGCGAAACGAGAATCCCTGCGGTAAACTCTACAAACTAGAAGAATGAATCGGTCAGTTCACCATAAGTGTGGATTGCAGCCTGCCAAATAATAACGCAGAGAGAAATAAAATGTGTGGTCAACTTTGCGAAATCTCCACTACGTTCGTGAATAACTCAATGCGTCGTTAAAGCCATAGAGCGCAAAAGTAATTTGAAATTTTAGTTGACGCTGTAGCTGTACTGTCTATAAGGTGTAATCAATGTACGTTGTCGAGGAATAATTCGAATGCGTGACAGGACATTTACCTGAACGGAAATGCTCATGGAAAGTGTCGCAGCATTTTTCTAGATAAAATATAATGTTTGTTGGGAAAATGTAACTGACCCAAGCTCTTTTATTTTCTTGAGTCTCAGTCATGTTACAGTAAGCCCTTTTCCACCCATGGCTTCGTTAATTACTGTTTATTGAATAGCTGAAATTTCCAAGTTTTTTCCCATCAACAGCAACTGTGGCGAATCTTTTTGAAAGGCGGTAGATTTGGTCGATAAATAAGAACAACTTGAAAGACGAGAGGTTGATTAGACGTAATCTGGTATTGAGTATACCGAGACACTGGAGTATATGGAGGTTATACGGAAACTAATATCATTGAGTCTATGATTTGTTAGTCAAACATCGGACTGGACTTAATATTAGTTACTTCGTTGATTACTTACTAATCGGTACTCGGTTCCAGCCAGCTCCAGTTGGTTCTGATAACTTAAATTTGGTTCCCGTCTCTTCTTAAAGCTAATCAACGTTCACAAGGAAGTGAACGAAGAAGTAACGATTGATCTTGTTGGGGAGAACTCAATTTAATGGGAATTCTCGTTCGAACTACTGGCGCCGTTGTGTTTTCTGCCAGCGGAAAAATGTCATGCCCAGTCAACTCTTTACGCAAGAAGCTCAGAACGAAAGGAATCTGTAGTAATTCTGGGAGAATAATGAACAATCCTTTGAAAAGCTTGAAAATTTTAGGTAAAAAAGGGAAGAAAAGATCGAATCCCAAAGGAGGTGAGGTTATAGAATGGCAGGTACTTAGAATCCGGCTGAGGTAAAAGAACGTTCGGCAAATTTCATTCAGTTTGAGTTCGGTAAGCTGCCAATATCGAAAAGCGCTTTTACGTGTGGTAGTTACGATCAGTAGATGTAGATAGATAGAGATATAGATGAGCTTTGTACTCAGACAAACGACTAAGTGGGGTAAGTTTCTTAAAGGCCCAGTTCACCCTTAATGCAACGCGCGCCGCGACCCAATTTCCTGTAACACGAAATTCCCAGATTACTGAAAATCATCTAAAATCGTCTTTCTCAAAAGCCATCCTGGACTTATAGTCAACTGTTTTACGGTAAATACATTTGCGGTTCGTCATTTTACAGTTTTGTTATAGTGTTTTGAATTTTGTCCGGTAGAATCCGAAGAAAAGTTTTTTTGAGTGTGACGCTTGGATCTCTACTTACACTGTGTACAGCGGAGTCGGCGTAAAGGACAACGTTCAAATTTTTTCACTTTCTAAAAAAACACTTGAGGATTCTCAATAAAGATAAAATACTTTCCAACAGAAATTGGTATTTTTCAAGGAGAAATATGGAAAAATATCAGACTGCCGGACGTTTAGTTATTCGAAGACCGTGTCCGGTAGTGTCCAAAGAAAAAAAAAGTGTCACGATTAGATCTCTTTGTACTCTGTGTTCATGGTCGGCAAAACGGAAAACGTTCGAATTTGTTCACTTTCTAGAAGCGCTCGAGGATTGTAAATGAAGGTAGAATATTTTCCTAGGAAAATTGGTATATTTCACTGAGAAATATGGAGTTATCGAAGGACCGTGTCCGGCCGTGTCATTGAAAAGTTCCCAAGTCTCAAGCGCTTGGATGGCTGTATGGCGAAAAGTATTAAGTTCGAAATTTTGGGCTGCATGGAAGCGCTTGAGGATTGTAAATAAAAGTAGAACATTTTCGTATAAATATTTTGGATTTCGAAGAGAAATATGGAAAAATATCGGCCTGCCAGGCGTTTAATTGTTTTCAGACCGTGTCCGGTCGCCGGACGTTTGGTCCCTTCATTGCAGGAACGTCAGCAACACTGACAGTTTGCGTTACAATGGTTATTTGCTGCTTTGCATGGACAACAACCTCGACCACTCTTTCGAGCGCAAGCTCCTCTCCACGGGGAAGAAATTTCAACTGACCCTTGGTCCTATTTAACAACGATAGCAAACTTCAACGAAAAAAAATTGATGTATGAATGAAATCGTGGTGGATCAACATTTTACCTTCCTCGGAATACTTGTAAGGATTTTCGTGTTCTTCTTTAGCAGCAACTGATCAATAAGCGTTTACTGCTTCGGCATCTACTAAATCGGTAGATTCATCTGATTCCACGCGGGATTAAAACGTATAGTACTGTTTTAAACAGAATTATTTTGACAAGCTTACCAAACTCATCGGAGAAAACGCAGAGACTATTTTGAGACAACGTGAAAAGGTAAAAATAACTGACTAATCAGAGGTGCTATTTAAACAAAAGTGGTGGTTCAAAACAAACACAAACGACCACGTTGCATCGAGGTTTCATTTTCGCCCCGCGTAACTTCGACCCGTGTCAAATTCAAGTTCGACCCGCTTTATCACATATGTGTTTTTATGTCTAACTTACATTTTATGTCCTATATTGATGTTTGTCTTTATGCAACAGATTTAGATCTATATTTAAAAGTATTTACGGAAAGAGACAAGAATTGTGTAGATTTCATGCAAATTAGACAATTTATCGAACGTATCTTTACGTTCATGTACACGTGCCAAGGATGTGCACAGTGCTTTTTGTGTTGGCCTATACATAATGTTTTGATAATGATTTTATTAGAGAAAAAAACATAAAATTATTATTTGTGATTGAAGGCGAGTATCTAAAACGATTGTGTTGTAGAACTAACATATTGTTATGTATTTTATTCAAATATGAATCAAGCAAGTTTGAATTCATGCGGCCGTGACTCGCTAACAGATTACTTCTCAGTGAAGTCTATTCCCACTCTATTCACCGATTGGTTTTAATTAATCAGTTCTTGCTCCATTCAAATATAAACACGACCTGAGAAGTTGCGAGGCACTCTTCTTTCCCTGCTAGTATTCATCCCTGCATTAACTGAGTGTTCAGTTAATGCTGGTAATAGTTGGAATAAAAAGATTTTGTATTGCTTCTCTCATCGTCTAAAATTTGATCGTTTGGCTTGGGAACGCTACCCCAAGACTCTGTCCAATGAGCCTCCTTTCAAGCACATTTTTCAATAAACTTGATTTGAAACAGCATTTTTATAATTAAGTAAATGATAAGGTTTCTTTAGATATTAAACCTTATGATTGAAAGATTTCGTGTTTTAATGAATTCATCGAGGTCTTCTTGGACACACGGCTGGTGCCGTGGTGCGTGCATATCATTGCTGTCAAACGTTGTTGTGACGTATTTAATCTACCTATTAGCTATCAACTACATGATAAGCTTAGAGCTTCGTATTATACCATGAAGTTTCTTTAACTAACATAGTGTACTTTACTTAAAACCGCCTCGCGTATGCGAACGGCAACTTGCAAGAATTGAACTTTGTCGTCTGCCTTTCAGCTTTAAGAGCAATAGTGTAAAAGTATCTACGTTTATTATAATTAGAAGATAATTGTGTATTTCTCTGTTGGGTCTATTGGATAAGAAGAAAAGTAGGCGAAATTTGCCGTTTGCGTTTGCTGTGAACTTGGTTAAAAATCTTGTCCATTTCTTCCACGCGCTCTCTGCGTCATATTCTGTCGGACGAGCGTTCCAAAACAAAATTGTTTGATTTTTTTTCTCTCCAAATGATCCAAGTTTATTTCCTGAAGGTTTTCTCTCTTCTCTTTTGTAAATTTCGATCGTGATCTGGCACGTGCTTATGGGAATGTACGAGAAAGCACGACTTGCAAACATGCTTCACACGCACCTCGTTGAAAGGTCTCTCGTTGAAAAATACCCTTTTCAATTTTATGAAAATCAAAATTGAAAACAGTTGGCGAACAAAACTTGAATGCATAAAATTTCGGCAGTCATTCTTTGGAATTCATGCTTCACACGCGCCGGTGAAAGATGGCTGTGCAAATGCAAACTTTGGCCTACAATCATCAAATATGCTCGTTTAAGGGCTATTTTTAAAGCTCTGGAAATGCTCTGTTGCGATAAATACAAATCAAACTTGAGAACCTTGAGCGAAAAAACTTGAAGGCATAAAATGTTTTCAATCATTCCTTGGAGTTCAGTGACACGTCAAAACAAAAAGGATACACTTGTGGACGCAGCCACTCGAGGTCGCTTAATTGCGCTATTTTTTCATTGCCTTGAGTCTTCCTCCAAAATGATCTCACCTTTTCTAGAACGCATTAATCCGAACTTAGTCAT